CTTGTCCTGGATCAACACATCCAGGAGGTTGTTGCATGTAGATCTCTTCTTCCAGTTCACCATTGAGGAATGCGGTTTTCACATCCATTTGGTGAACTATTAACCTGTGCAAAGATACTAACGCAAAGAGAACACGAATAGTTACTATCTGTGTAACAGGTGAGTAAGTATAGAAGTAGTCTTCACCAAATTTTTGAGTATAGCCTTTGGCTACTAACCTGGCCTTGAACCTTTCAATTGACTCGTCTGGTCTTAGTTTTCTTTTAAAGATCCACTTGCACCCAATCGGTTTACAACCTTTTGGCAAATTCACCAATTCCCAAGTGTGGTTAGATTGGATAGAGTCTAATTCACTCTTAATAGCTTCTTTCCATAGCGTGGCGTCTACTGAACGCATAGCTTCTTGGAAAGTTTTGGGTTCTTCTTCTAAGACTAAATGACATATGAATTGATCACAAAGCTCATTCATATCTTTCAACTCTGTCAGATAGGTTACGAAGTCAGAACTAAAGTTTTTCTCTGTCCTAAGCCTCTTGCTTCTTCTAGGCTCTTCACAGTTCCTTGAGGAACTCGGAAAAACAGTAGGAGGATTCAGGTGTAGGCTAACTTTAGGTGAAGTGTAAGCCTTTTTCATAGGAAAGATAGATTCAAAGAAAATTGCATCTCTGGATTCACACATTGCACGATTTTCTAGATATATGAACCTATATGCGGCACTGTTCTCAGCATAACCAACAAAGATGGCATCCACAGTTTTAGGTCCCAAGTTGGGCCTCTTGAAAGACGGTAGCCCTACTTTGGCCAAGCAGCCCCATACCCTGAAGTAGTTAAGATTGGGGGCATGTCCTTTCCACAGTTCATAAGGAGTTTTTTCAAACCCTTTGTGTGGTACCCTTTTTAAGATGTGGTTCGCTGCTAAGGCAGCTTCCCCCCACAAAGAGTCCGGAGCACCTGAACTGATCAACATTGCATTAATCATTTCTTTGAGAGTTCGAGTTTTTCTCTCAGCAATGCCATTTTGTTGGGGAGTGTAAGGTGCTGTTACTTTATGAATAATGCCAGAAGTTTCACACAAACTTTTAAAAGTGTTAGACTCATATTCTCCTCCTCTGTCGGATCGAAGCCTTTTTATCTTTTTCTCTAATTGGTTTTCTACTTCATTTTTAAAAACCACAAATTTCTGTTCGGCTTCATCTTTTGATCTCAATAAATATAATTTTGTGAAACGAGAGAAATCATCAATAAACGTAATGTAGTAGCGTTTTCCACCTCTACTCTCGGTGGTTTTAAAGTCAACTAAGTCGATGTGAATAAGCTCTAGAATAGATGAAATTCGATTATTCACTGTATGAAAAGAATTTCTAGCATACTTAGTTTCAGCGCAGGTTTCACATTGTGTGCATGCATCATTAGACAATTTTGGCAGCATATTCATGCTTTTTAGTCGATTTAAACATTTTGTTCCAATATGCCCTAATCTATCATGCCATAGATTTATTGAAACAACAATGTAAGCAAAGGAGGAAGCTTTATTATCAGCAATGTTTGGAATGGAAACACATGTAGTTGCACTCGAACTATCTACAGCATTTTGTTTTCTAGTTACTGAAGCATCTAACACAAAAAGGCCTCCACGTAGATATCCCTTTCCCAAATATTTCCCACAACGAGTCAGAACCAGTCGATCAGACTCGAAAACCATTTTTATTCCAGCCTTATTGATCAGGCTTCCAGAAATTAGGTTTCTACGCAGGGAAGGGACATAAAGCACATTTTGCAGTAAAAGAAGCTTCCCAGAAAAAAGCATTAACTCTATTTTTCCTCTACCACTTACCTTAGAGCTGCTGGAGTTTCCCATGAACACTTGTTCTTCTCCAATGTTGAGCTCAAGCACTTTGAACATGTCTTTGTTGTTGCAGAAGTGACGGGATGCCCCGGTGTCTACAATCCATTCGTCTGGATCACCCACCATGTTCACTTTGGTTATTACACCTGCTACAACGTCTGTGTTCTCTGCATTCTCCGTGTTTTCAATGTTCTCCAGCAAGTGAACCTGATTTTTTGGCCCTTCATTGTTTGGTTTCTGACCCGTCTGGTTTGTGGACCCTTTCTTGTGGTAATATTGTGCAGCACGGTGGCCTCTTTTTCCACAAACATAACACTCAATATTATTTTTTTCCTTTCTTTTCAATTTTCCCATTTTTGACACGATTGTTACCATTTGGTTTTGAGTTCCATTTCTGATTTCTGGAACTCTCACCAGACTTTGGTCTTTTAGAACCAACAGAAGATTCTACTATATTAACTTTAACAGTATCAGTAAGAACACCTGACCTTTGTACCATACGGTTTTCTTCTTCGATGTTAAGAGTGTTGATTAACTGTTGTAGAGTGTAGTTGTTTCTATCATGCTTCATCTTGTTTTTTAAGTCCACCCATGACTCGGGTAGCTTATCAATCAGTGAATCGCATAAAACAACATCATTTACCTCGCCTCCTTCTGCTTTCATGTCAGCAACAAGATTTTCAAAATCATGTACCTGTTCGGTGATGGTTTTAGCATCCGTCATTGTAAAATGCAGCCAGCGCCCTACTGCATACTTTCGCCTTCCAACATTATCTGCACCATATTTCTCTTGCATTAAGTCCCATATCAGCTTAGCAGACTTATGCGGAGAGAACATGTCGAACAAAGGATTGGTAACCCGTTGGAGAATCATTGTACGAGCAGTTTTATTATCCTTCTCGTATTTATTACGGACTTCTTGGGAAACCGTGGTAACCTGCGTTGTGGTCGACTTTAGAGCACTCGAGTAGTCAGAAGAAGCCTCTTTTTCTTTCGTTGTTTCGGTCGAAGCCGGGAGTGCAGCCGCAGCCGTGGTATATTTCGCAGGATCCTCAAGGATCACGTAATCCAGATCTTTGGATTGTAGCAGCATCGTGATCTTGGCAGCCCACCTTCTGTAGTTTAATCCACCAGTGAGTGGTTCGATTGGGGTAACATCAGAAGTGGGAGTCGATAAGTGAGACATCGCTGAATTCTACGTAAATGCTTTTAATTGTTGTACTGGTTCTTCGAAGCAGTAGCAGTCCCAAGGCCGAAAATAGCAATGTCGAAATAGGAAAACTTCTGTTTGATATGGCTGAGTGTATGAATAAAGATTGGAAGCAAGAATCTGTGTCGTGTTTGTTTAACACTGCCTTAAAAGCATTTACGACCAGGGTGTCGCATGCTCCCAACAGGACTCACAGATTATAAATGCAGTATTACTGCAATCACGAACTCAGGCAAAGGTTTTTGTTTTTCACGTGTATCTTACAGAAATGGGGAGCCTTGTTATATAGTAGAGGATGTAACAGACTACCCATTGTAAGCTAGGCAAAGAAGAGAGAATTATGGAGAGAAAGAAGGGTGTTGTACGCATGTTCACTGCTAGTGAATAATGTGCGGACAAGGTGGTCAAAAACCCACAAAAATAGGGGTGAAAATAATAGTGGGAGTGCAAAACTTTCACCACACTGCGACGAACCGAACCGAGCCGAGCGGGAGGCGGCGGCAGCGGCGTGCGCGAGATCTCCCCTTATTTCCTCTCCATAATACTTCAAACCTTCTAAAAGGCCTTGGTATATAAAAGGTGGGAAAAGGTGGCATAGCCAAGCAATGTGGGACTAGTGAATAAGGACAAACTCAATAAATGCCCCATTAAATGTTCCAACAGTTCAAGTAGTAAATGAGTTTTTTTTTTTTTTTTGTGAGAAAATTTTTAAAATAATTCGGGTTTGATTTCCATAAGTGACGATTCACCTTGCGCCTAGTCAGCAAAACACTAGGGAATTCCCGCAAGCAGTATCCAATTAAAGACGTGTATTGAATAAATTTTGTCTCGTGACCCGGCTTAGTCAGTAAAACACTACAAGGTGGTAAACCAGCTTGGTCCATCCCAAACTAGGAAGACCAATAAACTGCTCCCATTGAGAGTTGCTGAAAGCAGTAAAGCATCAAAAGAGGATCTCATGCGGTCTCCACTACCAGACCTGCAAACTTATAACATTGTGGTTACCAAGTCAACAAACTGAGAAACTTGGTTGGAGTTGCCCTCTATATGCATAAAAGTTTTGTTTTTATGAACATATAGAAAGAATATTATTAACCTACTATAAAGTGAATACATATGTTGTACATTTAGTTTAGTGTTTATTAACATTAAAATTTATATTTATAGACATATATATAGAACAAATATTATAAATATAGTACGTGATAATTGTTTTAGTACCAATCTGAAAATCTGATCTTATAACACCAAATATATGAATATAATATAAATGACAATTAAATAAATTAAAATATTACTGATAACAAATAAAATACCAACTATTTTCCAAATAATTAAAGGTCTGCAAGCAGTGTCGAAAGAAAGAAATTTGTCTCCACTTGTGCTGTAGTTTCAGACGTCTTCCTTGACGATACAACTATTACTACAAGAAATTTGTCTCCACTTGTATGTATAGGTACTTATATATACATAATTAACTTATAAATATTAAGTTTATATAAAGTTAATTAAATAATGAGTAAACTTAGATGGTGAGATATTTAGTTTTTCTTTAAATGTTAATGGTTTAAATCCTGTATGAATTTATAGTGAGATTATCAATTGTAGTTGAATTTTTTATTTGTAATATTGTATTTTTAATCTCATTTTTAATATTAATAATGATATGATATTAGTGATTTATAATATATTTTCTATTCGAACTATTTTATCTAATTAGTTATATTTCATATTTTGTGAAATTTTTATTTGTAACATTTTTTCTTGGTTTTTAATATTAATAGTTATATGAGTGTTTTTTTATAATATGTTTTCTACTCAAATTATTTTATCTAATTAATTATATTTCATATTTTGTTTTGAATAGTTTTTATCTCATTTGGATGTATTTTAATTTTTCATCTTAATTAATAATAGTTGTGACTCGGCCTCTAAGTATTTTTTTCAAAATATCTCATTAGTTTTTAATCTTTCACTCTCATTGACGAAGATTTCTAGATCCGTCCCTGCATACAACCAATTTTATTTTATTTTTTTGTATCTGAACAATGATTGTGGATGTCTTTATATCAAGTTCAAGGCACCATTTCAATTGCAACAGGATTTTAAATTTGAACAATTGCAACTTTTTAGATAGGTATGATGAGAACTGTAATAATTGTATTGAATGAATGTTAAATACAAAGACTACAGACCATGGGAATATATACCGGGGAGACTCACAAAATGACTAGGATAAGAAATTATAAACTGAGTCAAATACGAGTCATAATACTCCCCCTCAAGCACATGATATACTTGTAACCTATAACTTGTCTCTAAGGAAAGCAAATCTAGAACCAGGTAGAGCTTTTGTAAAAATATCAACAAGTTGGACTTTGGTTGAGATGAAGTTGACTTGAATATCTCCAGAAGCCACACTATCTCGCACAAAGTGATAATCAATTTCGACGTGCTTGTTGCGTGCATGAAAGATTGGATTGGCACACATATAGGTAACACCTTAATTGTTACACCATAGCTTTGGAATAGAAATACCTGGCACCTTTATTTCATGCAGCAACGAAATAATCCATAAGACTTCTGCACAGACATCTACTAGGGCTTTGTATTTTGCCTTAGTTGAAGACCTAGCAACAGCTCTTTGCTTCTTATAGACCCAAGATATAAGATTAGTCCCTAGAAAAACAGCAAAACCACTAGTGGACTTACGATCTTCAAGACAGCCAGCTCAATCAGAATCAGAGAAAGCATGAATTTCCTTTGACATTGATTTCCGTATATGCAACCCAAATTCAATTGCTCCCTTAACATACCTTAGGACACAATTTAGTTGTTCCTAATGTGCTGACAAAGCTGAATAACCGCAAAGGTCAAATCAGGTCGAGTAATAGTGAGATGTTGTAGTGCTCCAGCCAGGCTCCTGTAATGCGTAGGATCATCATATAAATCTGCACTAAAGGGAACAGTTTTTGAAATAGATATAGGCCGGAGTAGAGAGAGGTTTGCATTCCCTCATTCCAGCACGTTTCAAAATATCATTCATATAACGCTGTTGAGACAATAGGACTCCATCATCACATTTAACAGTTTCAATGTCAAGGAAAAAGTTTGGTTCACCAAGATCTCGATCATATCTTGAAAGTCGCAGACAATTTTGAGAGTAAGTGAGCAACTAGAGTCTGATCACTTCCCATTACAAGAATATCATCCACATACACCAACAAATAAACCAGTGCAGAATCTTGAGAGAAATAGAATAGAGAAACATCTGTTTTTTATGCTTGAAAACCAACAGATATTAAAAACGTGTGTAAACAATTAAACAAAACTCTAGGAGCTTGTTTTAATCCATACAGTGAACGTTAAATAAAGGATAAAGCTTTTAGATCAAATTTAGCAAAACTCGCATCGTCAAGAAACTAAAAACAAAATTCTAGTTAGAGGCAGTCTAGGTATGCACACTTTAATATTTAATATAATCACAATAATTTACCATAAAAATTATCAAATTTTGAAATAAAAAATAAAAAATAAAAAAATTAACATACACACTTTAATATATAAACACGATGAGTTGTATTCAGGAATCTAATTACAAATGTACAGATTACAGGTATATATAAAAAGAGAGTCTCAGTGAGACGGGATAGGGAGTCATAATCTAATTCAAATACATAGAGTCCTAATACTCCCCCTCAATCACAAGGTACACTAGTGACTTGTAGTGTTTTTTTTTTTTTTTTTTTTTTTAAGAAGTGACTTGTAGTGTAACACCCCCAATTTTCTTACTTTCGAGCCTAGTTACTAACATTCATTCAAGGGTAGAAATAAGGGTAAAACACCTAAATTAAGATAGGTAAAACCATATAAACATTCACATGGGAGTGCTACCGCGACAACTACCCATCCTCGAGTAATTGCTCAAGCTAAACATCAAAACTAACATTCTAGAGTCATAAGCTCTACAAACATCAAAAGGGGATTTAAGAACCCCGGTGTCTACGCACCAACAAAATATAGGTATTCTAAGGCTACATCAAAACAGTAACATCAATCTCAATCACAAAGGGGAATACTGAGTCTAACATCCAAGATAGTCTATCTAGAGCTACACTATTACATCGATCCTTGATAGAGTGCTTTCTCAACAAACATTATAACAACCTGAAAAAGGGTTATAAGGAAAACATAGCACATAATGATAAGTATAAGCCACTCAATCTTGCAACATAAATATAGATATAGATTTTGAAAAATGATTTGACAGTCACATGTATATCACATAAGATCATAAAGAGGTACAACCAATCAATAGAATACAGTTTAGATAGCTCACATAATATATATATATATATATATATATATATATATATATATATATATATATATATATATATATATATATATATAACACAATTCATACCCATGCTTGCAACATACAAAGAGTACTCACGATGCAACACATATGCATAGATGCCCATGATCAATGAAGATGAACTAGAATGATTCACAATATGTATCATGAGAATAAGGGATGAGAGTAATATAAGTCAATGCTTTCATGGTACGTAATGCGGATGTAAAACTGTCACAATACTTTTCTTGTAACAAAAGAGTTGTATATGCAATCCGGATACTAGGTTTCTCAAACATAAGTGAATGTCAATAATATAGATACTCTCACTCTCAAAATATAGAAATATAGCTTTAATACGGGAGGACCTCAATCAATCTCATCATATCACATGTTTATAAATCATTCACAACTTTCTTATCATATCATTCGGTGGAGAGGTAGAAACTTCACGATTCGTGAACGGACCTATTCGGGCTCAACAAATATTGGCCGGCCTAATCTCATCTTGCCCACAATTTCGTATATCTTTTCTCTTTGCTTTGGAATCGGATATCGTACCTTCAGTGTTCACACCTCCTACTGGGATTTCAAGTCTAGCGAGTAGTATCCATCCTAGTAGCCCAGGATTTTTCTACCAAGCTACTTCAATCATATTCGTCCAGAATTTTTCAACCGGACTTTCTCATCATCATAACTTTTCATCATACATCCGTAAGGACATAGTCCAAACGGGAGCCTCCAAAATATACATTTTTCTCACATAAAAAGATAGTAGTAATATAGCATTTAAAAGCTTCCCTTTCTCTATGGCGGGAATCATACTGACATGCATGCTTTTCAAAAGAGCATAAATAGGTATAGGTTTATATATATATATATATATATATATATATATATATATATATATATATATATATATATATATATATATATATATATATATATATATATATATTAAAATAGTTGTAAGGCAATGATATAGGACTTTTATACTCATAAATAAATATAGCTCTTAGTACCCAAAAATCATAAGTTTGAGTATTAGAAATTGTGTGTAATGATTTATGCACAAATGGTCATATAATCATGTCAATTTAATTTCTAATGCAACTATTTAGCACATGTCGAGTACTTAAACAAATCCATGATCAATTCATGACTCAATGCTAGGGTCAACACATACTAAGCTTTAATAACGCCAATGTACTCAAATAACACTTAGTAAATCATTTTTGATGCTTGGGTTGAAAATGAATTTTATTCACATAAAAAATAGGCACATTTCATGAGAACAAGTTCGTTAAGCTCCCGAGCCTCACGGGCCCACGAGTCACGGACTGAATCGGCCTTGACACTGAGCCACAAGGGCCCTGCACCTTGGCCTTGTGGGACATAGTGGCAGGTCTGGGGAGTCCCGCCACTACCTACCACAAAGGCTTAGTCCCGCTAGGCCATTTTCCTTACGAGGCAGTGAGCTCCAAAGCTCGTCTCTGAGATACTTCCATAGCGAAAACTTCATTTTCAGACCACAACACTTCTCCAAAATTCACCCAATCAACATGTATAACATCAAGGCAACAACACCACACATTATAAGCACAAAACAACACATAAATCCCTATCTCTAAACATTACTACGCCATATACATCATATAATATCATTCACAGCACATTAAACAAAATTACTAAGTTTTGGGAATCCACGGATTATACCTTGAGTATGCTAGCCCTTAGTATGAACCCCTCCTCCTTCTTCAATTCAAGAACATACAAGGCAAACATCATACACAAGCATACACATTCATCATATATAGAAAGAGATGAGGTAAAATAAGGTGAAAGATGAAATGAATGGAGGAAAATGGAGAAAGATGGAAGAAGATGGAATGGGTCACTGTGATCTCTCCTTCTTGGTGGTGTCTCTCCCTGAGACTTGGAGTGGAGGAAACAAATGGGAGGGATTAAGTCTTCAGGCAATGGAATAGTAAGATTATATAGGTGCACAAAACCCTAGGTAGGAATGAGTGGGAAAGAACGGCTAAGTGAGGACATTTTGGTCCTTTTGCGATTAAAAATCTCGGGTCATAATTTTGAGTCAAAAATTGGGTCAAGTTTGGATATAAATACGATGTAAATTTTTAAAGTTAGGATATGTTCACTTTAAAAATCAGTTTTGGTTAGAAAAACTTCTATCAGTTTCACAGGTTCCTCTAAGATAGACATTTTGGGTCAAAACAAGGTACATAAATATACCTTTTACTTAGGATTTAAAAATCATAAATAAATATAGGTCTCATTTTTAATAAAACATTTTGGAATAAAATAGGATATTTAATTTCACTCGTGTGAATAGAATTTTAAAATCAAGGTCTTATTTGGTATTTTTGAAAATTGGAAATATTTTTATGAAAATATTTTTGAGTTTTCACAAGTAGCTTGTCTCTAAGAAAAGAAAATCTAGGACTAGGTAAAGCTTTAGTAAAGATATCTGCTAGTTGATATTTTGTTGAAATAAAGTTAACATGTATATCTCTATTTGCAACTCTATCTCTAACAAAGTGATAATCAATTTTCACATGTTTAGTGCGAGCATAAAAAATGGGATTTGCACACATGTATGTAGCACCAATATTATCACACCACAACTTGGGAATAGACACACCAATCACGCCAATTTCACGCAGCAAAGAGAGAATCCAAATTACCTCAGCACAGACATCTGCTAGAGCTTTATATTCAACCTTAGTAGAAGATCTAGCAACAGTTCTTTATTTCTTACATACCCATGATATAAGATTGGATCCAAGAAAAACAACATAACTGTAACACCCCCGAAATTAAGCATATTTTAAAGTCATTTAAACTTAAGTAAAAGATAATATCTAAGCAGCAATCATAAACAACGCGGAAGCTAGTCACATGCAAAACGGGAGATGTTATGCCACACCTATACAACTATAGGTACACAGGCTAAGTCTAAATAATCTATCCATAAACAGAGTCACAATATCCAAGGCACACAGGCCGCAATCTAAAACTACAGAAGGAAGCTACGTTATCTAACTCGTCCACTAGCGCACTCTTCGAGATCTACTCAAAACCTGTAAAACATAAGAGATAGCACCCGTCAGCGAATAATGCTGGTAACCCACCAATACACGTTAAATATCATAATATATAGATATATGGAAAAGCATTTGAGACAGTGGAATACAGTATATAATTCTTTAAAAATGAAGAAGGAACAACATAAGACTCAACAACGAGTCACTCACAATCAAAGACCAATCTCAATAGATTACTCAATCATCAACATGAACGATAAAGACAACATGTTCAACAACATGATAATTCAAACGATAATCAATCAAAAGACAAGCATAAGTCACTTCTCATGAACCATGAGAAACAAGAATCACATTCAAAGATGAGTACCAAGTTTCAACCTTATGCCCTGTTCCAACCATTCTCTCCAGGCCAACCTTATTACAGTTCCAATCTTTACCTCCTAGTGTCACCCTGTACACCGAGTCCAACCTTATTCATCTGGAGCGATCCGCCCCTCGCCTGCATCCGCCAGCTTTAATCGCCAAACAGGACACTCGTAGTGTCAATAGTCATATAGAATAGTACTAATCACGTGATAGTCTATCTCCTTTCATTTATTGCCCACCAATCATATAACAATACATAGATACTCATCACCGAGGATTGAGGCTCATCAATAGCCCAATCAAGTATCAATAAACGGATACATCACATGTACACAATTACATCAAGGAATACAATCGATAGATTTCAATGAAAGGCATTAATAGACCATCAAACAACGATACATCAACGATAGACTTTAATCCAAAGACTACCATGATTGGCAACACAAGTTTCCAATCCTCATCAAGAACAAACGAACAACACATACTAGCATCAATAACATTAGGACTAGCATGTACATCAAAATGAGAAACATAACGGTTCAACCAAACTTCAACGACTTCACATAAATCCAACGAATCACAAGGTTGGACCATAAACACGATTCAAGACTTATAATCCTATTACAGATACTTAGGACACCATTCTAGACATACGAAACATCAAAGGAGACACACAAGTGTTCAACAATCCAAAAAACGGAGGCCAAAGCACAACGTACCAGTGGGTGGAACGACAGGTGGACAACCACCCGCCACCTCCTACTCGTCTGTTCCAGCGGGTGGAACCACGGGTAGGCCTCCACCCGTGGCTTTGCCCGCCGGCATAGCCCACCATTACAGCGGGTGGAACAGCGGTAGGGGCTCTACCCTATGTTCTGCCCGTTGCCTCCACTGGAGCAACAAAGATTTCCCTTCGGGGAAAAACATCAACAATGCCAAGTTCAAGTCCAAAACACCCAAAACCTCACATTCAACAAGGAAATGACTTGAACACGTGAATAGCTCAAAAAGATAGCATTTAAGAACCCTAGATACAAGCTCTAACATGCATAAACACAAGATTATGCATCAAATCACTCACAACATCAAGAACAAATCATATAATGTCAAGAAATCATCATAATAAGTGTAAAATAGGTTTTGTAAAGCATGGGTTACCTTTGTAGACCACAAATCTCTTCATTAAACTCCTAGACTCCTTCTTGAGGTTCCTCTTCACCCAAATCTTCTCAACAAAAACCAAAACCACACAAAGAAGAACCACTCTTAGATAAAGATTATGCAAAACTACTCAAAAACACCAACCAAGCTAAGATCTTACCCTTCCTAGTGCCTTAGTAGTGGAAAGGTGAAATCTTGGAGAGATCTTTTGCAAGGAAGAAGGTGGGTTTTTCTTGGCTTGGGAAGAAAACTACTATTCTAGTGAGAGGGTGGAGAGTTTAGAGTGTCTTGCCAAATGAAATGTGATCTTGCTAGGGAAAGGCTTGAATGTCAAGCAAGTGTGAAAAGGCAAGCATGCCTTTACTAAAGGCTAGGAAGACAAAAAGGCCATGTACAACTTATAAAGCTCAAAGTCCTTTTTGTTGACTCAACCAATTGACCAAGGAATTGGTCAATCTAGGTCCTTCGACTTTTAATTGAAGAATTAGAAGGGAAATTCATGAGAAGGCTTAGAATTAATTTTATAATTAATTCTATTTAAGGGTTGGATTTTTGAGGTATCACAATAACCACTAGTTGACTTACGATCCTCAGGATAACCAGCCCAATCAGAATCAGAAAAGGCATGCAACTCTCTAGACACTGACTTTCTTATCCGCAGACCATAAGTAATAGTTCCCTTGACATACCTCAGTACACATTTCAATTGCTCCCAGTGAGAGATCGTAGGAGCATGCATATGTTGACAGAGTTGATTGACCGCAAAGGCAGATCTGGATGTGTAACCGTAAGGTATTGTAAGGCTCCAGCCAAGCTCCTATACTGTGTAGCATCATCATATAGATCTGCATCAAAGATAGTGGGTTTTGAAACAGATATAGAAGTAGCTAATGATTTACAATCTGTCATGCCAGCACGTTTTAAAATATCTGTCATGTATCTTTGTTGAGAAAGCAAAATTCCATCACCACACTTAACAGTTTCAATCCCAAGAAAGAAACCAGGTTCACCAAGTTCCTTAATCTTGAATTCAGTTGATAATTTTGCTAGTAGTGTACTAACAAGATTTTGATCACTACCCATTACAAGGATATCATCAACATATACTAGAACATAAATGAAAGTCGAATCTTGCAAGTAGTGAAAAAAAGATACATCTATTTTCGAGACTTTAAACCCTACTAACATCATAAACGCATGCAAGCGATTAAACCAAGCTCTAGGAGCCTATTTTAATCCATATAGAGGACGTTTCAACAGAAAAACATGATTGGGAAACTGTTTATCAATATACCCAGGTGGCTGCTTCATATAAACAGTTCCAGATAATTTCCCATTCAAAAAGCCATTGTGCACATCAAGCAGCATAACAACCCAACCGGAGGATATAGCTAAAGATAGAAGTAACCTGACAGTTGTGGGTTTGAGCACTGGGCAGAATGTGTCAAAAAAATCATGTCCAGGTACTTGATTACATCCTTTGGCTACTAACCTTGCTTTGTGCCATTTAATTGATCCATCAGCTTTCCTTTTTTTGTGCAAAAAACTCATTTGCACCCAATAACATTCATATCTATCTATGATTAAACAAGACACCAAGTATCATTCTGAAGAAGTGCACTAAACTCTTCATCCATTGCCTTGCGCCATTCATTGTGTTTTACTACCTGTGTATAACAAGTGGGTTTAGTAGGACAAACCTGATTAGAGAGAGCCAAAAGAAAAGCTTGAGAACGGCTCCGAGTAGCCATGGTGTGCGACTGGACCGTGGACTTCGTAGACCGCCCCCTAGGCCGACCTCGGGGTCAAGTGACAGCCGCTGCTTTAGTGAGTTCAGCGTGCTCGGTCTAGGCTAGTTTTGGCTGGTCAGCGTGAGTCAGGGCCGGTTTGTGTAGTGTCAGCTGAACTATAGTAATGGGCGGGACTAGAACAAGCACAGATTCTGCCCATGATTGATTTGTCTGAACCAGAGGTGCTTGCACAACATTCTTAGCACTGAAAGGAAAAACTACTTCATCAAGCCGAACATGTCTGCATACATATATTTTGTTAGTTTGTAAGTCTATGCACATATACCCCCTAAAGGACTCAGGATAGCCTAGGAAAGCACAAGGAGAAGATCTGTAAGACATTTTGTGACGATTGTAGGTGCGGAGATAAGGATAGCATAGACACCCAAAGACACGAAGAAAAGAGTATGACAGAGGAAATTTATGCAACAAGAGATGGGGACTTGATTTATTTAACACAGTAGATGACATCCTGTTAATTAAATAAACCGCAATCTCAAATGCATAATCCCAGAATTTAGGAGGAACAGAAGCACGACTTAAGAGAGCTAAACCTGTTTCAACAATGTGTCTATGCTTTCTTTCAACACGACCATTTTATTCATGAGTGTATGCGCAAGATTGTCTATGAATAATGCCTAGTTGAGCTAAGGTGGAATGTAACTTTTTATATTCAGATCCTAGATCAGACTGAATGGATTTAATTTTACGATTGAATGATCGCTCAACCATAGCACGAAACATATCAAAAATTGCATACAGATCAGATTTTCATGTCATAAGGAAATACCAAGTGTAACGAGAGCAGTCATCAACGAAAATAACGAAGTAACGATACCCAATATTTGAGAGCATGGGAGCTGGTCCCCAAATGTCTATATAAACTAAATCAAGAATACATGAACTAGAAGACTCAACGCGCGGTAAGGAAAAACGTGCAGATTTCCCTAGTTGACATGCATTACATAGACCAAAAGTACAACAAATAATATTTCTAGACCCACTAACCGAACAAGACAAAAGAATCTGACTAAGAACACGATGGTGCGGATTACCCAAATGATCATGCCAGACTGACGGGGAAGCTCGAGCTGAAAGAAACGCAGTAGGAGATGAATTTGGAATGGGAAGCTTGTAAAGCCCCCCAAAGCTATTGCCCCGTAGAAGAGTTTCCTTGGTGTTGATATCCTTCACAACAACAACAACAACAAAAAAAAAAAAGATGGGTGAAACTAAAAAAAACACTTTATTATCTGTCGCAAATTTTTGGACTGATAATAAAGATGTAGACAAACGAGGAACATGAAGAATATTAGACAATTGAAAACACCTAGAAGGGGTATTAAAAGTAGCATGACTAGCACGACTAACAGATAAGCCCATACCATCACCGATACATAATGTCTCATTACCATTGTACTCTTCTAAGATCGAAAGAACAGCTACATCTTAGGTAGCATGATTGATTGCACCTGTGTCTGGAAACCAAGTATGAGACCCTTGAGAATCTGAAGGAGGTCCTGGAACATGACGGGCTGGCTGCGAACATTGAGGGAGGATGTGAGCCCCCGGAACTCAGGCCGTAACCCTTGGAAGACGTAAAGGTTCTGTTCCTCGATAGACAATGGTCGGCCGACAAGGGTAAGTTCTTCAACCAAAACCCTTGCTTTTCTGATGTAATCAATAATGGACACATTTCCCTAGTGCAACGACTACAGCTGGCCGAGTAGGTTCAAGCTGCGAGAGCGAGCCGACGACGGCAATCCAAACTGCCCGGCTAGTGTGATGACTGATGGCCAACGGCATCACTTCATCGGATAATGATAACATAACCATAGACAAGAGGGCCTGATCTTGTCGAACCCAAGCTCGATGCGCGGGATTAGGTTACGCCGGCGTGCCATCTTCACCACGGAAAGCAAATCCGGCGGACATGATTTTGTACCAATAATGAACCCCATTAAATCATGACCATCAAGAAAAAGAACAACATGAGCTCTCCAAAACAGGAAGCTCTTGTAGGTCAATTTGATACTGATAAAGTGGTAAGTAGTGGACAAAGAATTCACGGTCGATGTGACTGAAGATATACCAATATTGGAAACGGTCCGTTCCGAAGATTCAACAGATCCGTCGGCCATTGGAAAGAAACCCTAGCTTTAACTGATACCAGATGAGAACTGATAGAATTGTATTCAGGAATCTAATTACAAATGTACAGATTACAGGTATATATAAAAAAGAGAGTCTCAGTGAGACTGGGATGGTCCTAATAAACACAAAAAACAATCATATAAATTCATACATATATTTACCAAAATTGATATTCTTTAACATAACAATATATATAAATAAAAACTACTCACAAATTAATATAAATTTGAAATAAAATTTCTAAAAATCATAAAATATCACATTTATCAAAATAATAATAAAACACGCATGTATTACAAACCATAAAATAAAAAAAATAAAAAAAAATACCTACCTCGGCACAAAACGACGGAGGCAGCGTAATCAGCGCCTGGTGGTGGCTGAATCTGAGGCATCGGATGGCTAAAGTTGGGGCGGATTCATCGGATGTGGCGGTGGTAGAGTCAGCGGCTGTGTCGGCGTTGCGGTGGAGGCGATGGTTGCGTCAGCGTCGCGGTGTTGGAGAAGAAAGTTACAGATCTGATCGAAGTGGGCCAGAGAGGAGACAGATCTGATATGGTCCAACTTTCCACAACTATTTCTAAGAGAAACGGTAGCGGAAAGTCAAGCGAATTTTTTGTTTTAAAAAATCAAAAATATCTCCGATTGTTTCAAGTCGAAACAATCGTGGAAAGTTTTCCCTTTTCAAAATTATTTTAATACGGACTTTTTGCAACCGTTTACAATGAATGGCCATGGAAAGTAAAAGCATTTATTTTTCAAACCGCGTCCGTTCAAATAACAACGGACATGAATTTTTCTTGATCAATTATTTACAGAATTATCACCGTGATACGTTTTAATTAACAATAGACATAAATTCTTGATCAATTATTTATGAAATTGTCACCGTAATTTTTTTGTTTTTAAGAATACACTACCTTGTTTTAAGAACAGTAGCGAAAATTAATCTCCTATGTCCTTTTTTTATACTAGTGAGGATTTTTTGTAGCTTTTTTGAAAGAGAGATGAAAATAAATTTTGTTTTTTTTTTTAACAATAACCACTCCATCCGGACACATGCCTGCTGGGCAATGGTGCGCACACCAGCAAGAATAAATAAATAAATAAATAAATATTGTACAACCACTCAATCCTCTCTCCTTTATTATTTTTTCTTTGCCTAAAAAAAAAAAAAAAAAAAAAAGAACCCATCATTTTTTAAATCAATGGCGATGCTCTAACCACTTGATTTATTATTATTAATTTTTCATTTTAATGCCGCTCATGAAAATATTAATGAGCTTTAACTTACTTCCTCCGCTCTATAAATAGCCTGCTCATAGAACTACTAAACCTGCAGGTTGAATTGAATCTTTTGGTCTTGAAAGATGAGTGAGTGCATTGCAAATGGGGCAACAAAACTGCAGATTGAGGCAATGCAGACAGTAATGCCTCTGAAGCCAACTGATCCTCGGCACTCCCACCGTGTTTCGGTCCCAGAAAACCACGGCCCCGGCGGCAGCTTCCGGCGGCGGTTCCACATGATACTGTGCTACAACAAGGCCTCCGACGATGACTCAGGGTGGATAGTAGCAGGTTGGATCAAGGAATCACTTGGAAGGGCACTTATTGAGAACCCAGTGCTTGCTGGCAGACTGAGAAAAGGGGAAGATAATGGTGGTTCTGGGGATATGGAGATTGTTTCAAATGATTGTGGGGTTAGAATGTTGGAGGCTCAGATCAATATCTCCTTGGCTCAGTTTCTTGGCCTCAAACACAAGAGAGTTGCAGAATCTGAGCTTGTGTTTTGGGAGGATGTTCAAGAATCAACCCCTCAGTACTGTCCATTGTTTTACATTCAGGTTAATTATTAGTCTCTCACCTATCATTTATCTCATTAAAATTAATTCGTTTACTAATATATATATATATATATATATATATATATATATATATATATATATATGTGTGTGTGTGTGTGTGTGTGTGTGTGTGTGTGTGTGTTATTTTTCTAATTTTATATTTCTCTGCCGGAAAAGGAGTTAGAATGAAGTGTTGTTATAAGGGATTGAAGTGTAGATCTAGTGTTTATATGTGTTTTTCTCCATTTCTTCAAATTTGGTAAATTAGTAAAATGAAAATAGCTAGCACGGGCTTAATTCACTAGTTCGGTAGGTAATGTTTGGGAGAAGACACCAATATTGGAAACTTGGCAGCCACACTGTGAAAATTATGCCCAAAGTAGGCAGATTCCTTGTGCACACTCGCATTTAGTCAAGTCTGCTGAGCCAATCCTTCGAAATTCTCTGTCGGGCCATTGAGTTGCCCTGATTTATATCCTCCAAAAGCTTTGTCAAGCCGGGATATAGGGGTCTTTGGGGGGGGGGGGGGGGGGAGGGGAGGAAGAAAAAATGAAAATGAGGGATCTCAGGTTCGAACCCTAGTGTGGGGCTTTGAATCTTTGTGCTTCAATAGATTGAAAAAGTATGTATGAACAGATACTACATTGTAACAGAATCAAAATGAAAATAACTTTTATGCCCTCATATTGGATGATGATCATTTAATGTTAAGACTAAAAGTAGATAAGAATTATATTTTATAGTTAAAATTGATAGGTAGGTAAAATGTTTGACAAGCCGGCCGGGTTTGTACAACTTTTGCAGGTGACAAATTTCAACTGTGGTGGATACTCAATAGGGATAAGTTGCAGCCTATTTCTGGCAGATCCATTTAGCATGACAAGTTTCCTCAATAAATGGTCAAAAATTCACTGCACCATGCTCTCACAAGTTGATAAACCCAACAAAATCCCTACGTTTTACTTCCCAAACCTCAGAAAACCTGGTACTTTACCCACTCATGTTCCCCTGGACTCCTCATCAACTAATGATAATCACCCTGCAGCTACTACCAAAACTGTAATCTTCAGACTCCCCACAAAGATCTCGAATTCCGACAAAGAGATCCACAAGACCCTTGCTGCCAAATGCATAGAAGAGGCCGAAAACAAGACTTCCAAGAGGTTGTCTTCGAGGTTCACTATGTTCTTGAAAGATTCCTCGGAAGATGTAAAGGTAGAGAGTTGGTTAACAGAGGATGTTTTTCAGAAGTCATTTTCTGGTTTAATCAGCGGAGTTGATTCTCTGAGCTGGGAAGATTTAGGGATTGACAAAATTTGCTTCAAAGAGGATAACAAGGCTGTCTATTTCTCATGTTGGATTAGCTCAATATTTGGTGAAGACTTTGTGATGATTGTTCCATCTACTGATGATGATGAGGGAAGGTCTGGTGGACACAATATTATTGTCACAATTTCTGATTAGAGGACAACTTTTCATTTTTATCACTTCAAAACATTTATATTGGCTTAAAGTTAGGCCCCTCTAATAAAATAGAGGTTTTCGTGTGCTCATTTGAATTTATCTTGGCCTTGATAAGATTCTACTTGATTATTGGTTGAGGGCAAATTATGGTTCACACAACGCTACGTGGACCATAACAAAATGTACATTTATAATATACTAAATGTACACTATTTGTGTACTGAATGTACATTATACAATATTCCGTATAATATTCGACCAATTTAGCGTGTTTAATATCATAAACTTCTTTTATTCAAAAATAAATATCATAAACTTCTTTATCAAACAGTTATACTGAACTTCAATTAGTTTATCAAGTTCTTTAATATAGTATGAAGTGTGAACTTCTTTACCCAATGACAACATTAAATTTTGATTTATTCAATATCAAAATGGTAATACTTTTATTTATGAAAAATCTTGCAACTACTATTCAAATGTAAGCAATTGAAGCCGGTCTTATAGCACCAATAAACACTTCTTACCAAAAGTCGAACTTGAAACCTCGTGGTTATCAATCTAAGTGTGCAAGAAACTTAGCTAAGGTGGTCAAATTCTATTCAAACTACAATAGGTGATAGTGTTGAAAGAGTAGAATCTATACTTCTATACTATATATAATAACAAAATCCTGGAATTTTAACTTCCCGCCCAATTCCTAAAAAATCTCTCTTCCCAATTAAATATATTGATTTCTACTTTCCCATTCGTACAATAATTCTGGGTAAAAATTCTATTCTAAAATTTTAAAATAGTGTAATACAATTCCCTTTGTACATCTATATCTATACTATATATAATAACAAAATCCTGGAATTTTAATTCAACTTCCCGCCCAATTCCTAAAAAATCTCTCTTCCCAATCAAATATATTGATTTCTACTTTCCCATTCGTACCATAATTCTGGGTTAAAGTTCTGATGTGTCAAAAGTTCGGCAGGGCATAATAATAATAATAATAATAATAATAATAATAATAATAATAATAATAATAATAATAATAAGTAGTAAAAATAATATTTAAAAGTAATTAAGTGTTAATAATAATAGTAAGAATATTAACGTAAGAATTATAACATAGAATAAATCGTAATAATTAATAACTATAATCTAGGATTAAATTTTGAATTGTCAGGAAAGATAAACGACCTCCGCGATTTTTTTTTTTTTGAATGTTACTGGGCCCTATTACATTGTAGTATCTGTTCATATACTTTCTCAACCTACTGAAACACAAAGAACCAATAACGCCTCTACTGAGACTCGAACTCGTAACCTTCCAAATGGAAATCCAACCCGGGTATCATTAGACCATATAGTCTTGGTCTTTATTGATTTAAATATTCTTAATATATTACACAATAATTCCATTCCGTGCATCGCATGGGTGAAAATACTAGTTATATATAATTAATGATTAATGAAATTATTTTAAGCAAGTTGCTTTTGTACGATTATTATCATTGTTGGTGGTGGTTGGTTGTTGGTTGTTGTTCGTTGTAAGGGATTGCGAAGAAACAAGGATTGTGATGAAACGAAATTGAAGCTTCTATATTCATTTAAGAGTAAAGTCTTAAATTTTAGGTGAAATTCATATAATTTGTAGACTTTCATACATTCTTTTACATTTCCATAAACTTATTTGTACTATACAAATCTATAAAAGACAAACATTTGTATTCTTTTTAAGAAATTATATTAAAAATATACAAAAGTTATTATTAAACTCTAAATTAAATACACACTTACAAACATTTAATAACTTTTAGAGAAAATTTAAATTTTGGTGATATAACTATAAGAGCTTGGTTAATTTCAGCACCTGACTTTCAAAAGTGTCAATTTAGTACCTTGACTATGCAATTTGTATCAATTTTGGTCACTCCGGTCAAATTGCAGGCCAAATTTCGTCGAAAAATTTGAAGAATTAAAATAATGAGGGTATTTTAGTCATTTCACATTTATTCCTTCTTCTCCGGCGAATTCATCTTTTTCGGCGAATCCATCGCAGCAGCACACCTTCCGGTTTGACTCATGCATCTTTTTTATTGGCAATCCGTGTCATCTTTGGCCCCTTCCTTTTTATTATCATGATAATGATGGCGAAAATGAACACTGTTGCGCTTTTGACAAGAGAAAAAGAGTTCCGATAAAGCTCGATAAAGGAGAAAAATATGTCCCCTTGACGTCGAATCTTGATTGTGGTACTAGCATTTGTCAATGGGCGAGAAAGCAAAAACAATGAACGAAAGAGAGTGTAAGCTCTCTTCTTTATCCACATGCTTCATGTACTGTGTTTTGAGCAAGATTGTTTTTTTTTTTTTTTCTGTATTTAAGGTTGTTGGGGGCTGAGTTTTGGGCAAAAAATGCGTATGAATCAGGGAAGGTGTGGCGCAGGTTTTGGATCTGGAAACTGCGCTCAAAGATGGAATTTTGGGCGGCGGCGGTGGAGTGGTTGTCGCTCGGGAGAAGCTTAGTCGGGGAAAATGATTGAAGAGATGTGAAATTACTAAAATACCCTCATTATTTTAACTGTTAAAATTTTTCGACGAAATTTAACCAGTAATTTGACCGGAGTGACCAAAATTGATAAAAATTACATAGTTAAGGTACTAAATTGACACTTTTGAAAGTCAGGTGCTGAAATTAACAAAGCCCCTATAGCCATATGACCAAAATTGAAATTTTCTCTAACTTCTATTAATATATTATTTATATTTTTTTGCAAAAACTTTTATACTCCATAATAAATATATATATATATATATATATATATATATATATATATATATATATATATATATATATATATATATGTGTGTGTGTGTGTGTGTGTGTGTGTGTGTGTGTGTGTGTGTGTGTGTGTGTGTGTGTGTGTGTGTGTGTGTGTGTGTGTAATATTTTTATAAACCATAAATAAAATAATGCACGGCAAAGAAATAAAAATAAAAACTGATTGTCACAAAAAAAAGAGTGTTTTACACATAAAGACAATATCAATCAAGTTTATTAAATGATATAGTCAATAAAAATGTTTCTTGAACTAATGAAACAACTAATGTTGAGTAATATAATTATCAAAATTAATTTCACCTACCTTGTTGGGTGTCTCTCCACGTATCCAAAGCTATTTTAGCCCTCCATTCATTTGCATGCTCACATTAAACAAACATTTGGAAAAGTTGAACATTAACCAATTACAGTGATCTTGTGGTGACATATTTAAAAAACATATCATTTTTGTCATGATCAACCATTCCAGAAGCCTTGAAATAAGTATCACCATCCAAGTTTGGGAGTTCTTAATAGCATCATGAATGCAGTATAATTCTCAAACAAATAATTACTCTGAGTAACGGGTTATCGATCCACACGGAAGTGGACGTATCAAACACTAGCTACTAATCTATTCATGATAAGCTAATCCTAACGAAGAGAGTGGTTGATTAATTGTAAAACTAATTTAAAAGCAAAGTAAACAATCGGATATGTACTAGTAATGAATAACAAAAATAATCTCTCTCCTAGGGTTTCTCCAAGGTTTTCTCTTCGGTTTTTCATGACTTCTCTCCGGTCGACACCAGCTATCTCGTACGTTGATGTGCGTGTTCTGTGTTCGTTTCCTCCGAAAAGTAGATGGCTGAATCAACAACGCCTGATGCTATGCCTGCGCTTACACGGCGATGGGCGGACATGGTGCTTGAAGATGAAGAAACGGCGTTCCAGCCGGTTGCTGATGATGTTGGCGAGGAGGGGGGTGGTGCTAAGATGACATGGCGAGTTGTTGGTCGCTTCCTGACCAAGACACTCATCAAGATAGAGTATATGAGGCAAGCCCTAGCATCGGTCTGGAAACCGGTGAGGGGGATGCGTGTGTCCAAAATCCAGCCTCGATTATTCTTGTTTGTGTTCTATCATAGAGCGGATATGGTACGGGTGCTAGAAGAGGGTCCCTGGGCGTTTGAGAATGCAACCCTAGTTTGTCGGGAGGTGGTGGATGGTGCGTTACCAACGAATGTGGCTCTTGACTCTGTAGACATGTGGATTCAAGTGTATGATCTGCCATTGGGTTACACGTCGGATAAGATCCTAGAGCAGATTGGGAATTTTCTGAGTATCTTTATTAAGGGAGATAATAGGTTTGCTGGAGCCCTGTGGAAAACGTTTCACCGGATTCGTGTTTCTTTGTCAGTTGATAAACCGATAAGACGGCGGATGAAATTTGTTAAGCGTGACAAGTCTACGTGTTGGGTCACGTTTAAATACAAACGCCTGCATAATTTTTGTTTCTACTGCGGAATGATTGGCCATGTTTATAAATTATGTGCCCATGCTAGAGATGCAACCATTCCAGTCGAGAATTACCCTTTCTCGAATAAGTTGCGTGCCGACGACCGGCGAGGTCCTCGGGCAGTAGGAGAAAGTTGGTTGTTGCCAACGGAAGGGGCAGGAGGGGTAGAGGACAGTACCGCTTTGTTTCCGAACGTGGATGTTGTGGGAACCGCCTCGGCTGCTCGTCGCGATACTGACATGGCAGTGGTGGCGGTCGCTAAAAGGCGGAGAGAAGGGGAGGGTGGCAGCGAAAGGGGGCTGGTTGGTGGTGATGAGGATGTCTTGATGTCTGAGGGTGGTTCAAAAAGCTTGCATATGGCGGGCTTTGGTTCCCAGACCCGCCCAACCCAATGAGTACTCTAAGTTGGAACTATCGTGGCTTGGATAATCCACAGACAGTTCGCGAGATTATGGACCTACGTCCCGTAAGAAACCCGACTTTATTTTTCTTATGGAAACCAAGGTGGGACGAGAACATGCTGAACGTATTCGTCTCAAGCTTGGTTTCGATGGTCTTTTTTTATGTTGATCGTGTTGGTTTGAGTGGTGGACTGGCCTTGCTGTGGAAGAAGAATAATACTGCGAGTCTCTTGAGTTACTCGAGGAACCACATTGATATTCTGGTTAATATGGATGGCTTCCCAGGATGGCGGATGACTTGTTATTATGGTTTCCCGGAGCGTAATAGACATAATGAGTCGTGGGAATTGATTAAGTTGCTAGCATCAAAATCTGATTTGCCATGGGTTATGATTGGGGATTTTAATGATCTCCTTTTTCCGGCATGAAAAAAGAGGGGGTAATCCGCATCCAAATAGTCTCCTTCGCGGTTTTGGGGATGCTATTGAGGAATGTGGGCTGTTCCAAATGCCTATGGGGGGTTATCAGTACACGTGGGAAAAGGGAAAGAGCACAAGGGGCCTGGATTGAAGAAAGATTGGATAAGGTCCTAACTACAGAAAATTGGAACGCTATAGTGGAAGGAGCACGGGTAACTAATCTGCTAACTCGTGCATCTGACCACTCGGCACTATTTCTGGGGATCTGTGGCTCTTCTGGAGGAAGGAATGGAAGGGGGAGGGGTTTCCGTTTTGAGTCAGCATGGCTGTATGATGAGGGGTGTAGGCAGGTGGTGGAGGAGTCGTGGGTAGAAGGAATGGATAAGGGTTTTCAGGATTGCATTCAGCATTGTGGTCACCGTTTGTCACGATGGGGTGGTGATCATTTTCATAAGTTTTGTAAGCGAATTATGAGCCTAAAAAGAGAGTAGGAGCGTTTGAAAGGGTGTACAGACCCGACCTCACTCCTTGAGTACCAACGCCTAGAGGAACAGCTGAGCCGACTTGAGGCTCAGGAAGATGCTTACTGGAGGCAGAGGGCCAAGCAGCACTGGCTCAAGGATGTTGATGCTAATACGAAATTTTATCACAGGTATGCCTCTCACCGAAAAAAAAAAAAGAAAAAGAAAAATACTCTTATTACACTTATGAATGATGCTGGGGATTAGGTGGAAGGGGAGGCCATGACACAAGTAATATTGCAATACTTTAATGGAATTTTCTGCACCTAGTCACCCTGAAGGTGACAATGATTTATTTGGGGCCGTTTCTCCACAGGTTACACGGGCTCACAATGAATCGCTTCTCTGCCCATTTGAGAAAGAGGAAGTTAGGATTGCACTATTTTCAATGTTTCCTGATAAGGCACCAGGCCCGCATTGAATGAATCCGGGCTTTTATCAGCATTTTTGGGATGTGGTTGGGGGTGATTTTTCAAGTTTTGTGGTAAATTGCTTGAATTCTCATTCCCTCCCATCTGATTTAAATAGAACAGATGTGGTATTGATCCCCAAGAAAGAAACCCCTGAGTTTGTATCTGATTTACGACCTATAGCCCTAAGCAATGTGGTATATTGCGAATAGAATGAAGCCACTAATGGATGAAGTAATCTCAGCCTCTTAGAGTGCCTTTATACCTGATAGACTTATCACTGATAATATTCTACTAGCAGATGAGGTGGGTCATTACTTAACAGGAAACACTGTGGGGCTGGTGGTTGGGGGGGCTCTGAAATTGGATATGGACAAGGCCTATGACCACATTGAGTGGTCTTTTCTCCGAGGTATGATGCTAGCCCTTGGATTTGATAGTAGGTGGGTGGAGCTGATTATGTTGTGTGTTACTTCGGTGTCCTACATCTTTTTTGTTAATGGGACGCGCAGTGCTCAACTCATGCCTACCAGAGGTTTAAGGTAAGGGGATCCCCTGTCTCCTTATCTTTTTATTATGTGTGCAGAAGGGCTCTCAGTATTATTACAGCAGGCACAAGATAATGGTTCTATCCATAGTTGTATAGTGGCGAGAGGTGCTCCCCCCATCTCTCATTTATTTTTTGCTGATGATAGTTTATTATTTTTTAAGGCAAATGCAAATGAAGCCGGGGCAGTTAAAAACTGTTTATCTGTGTATGAGAAATTAGCAGGCCAAGTGGTAAACTATCACAAATCCAGCATATGTTATAGTAAGAATACTTGTGTGGCAGATAGGGAGGTGGTAGCGCAAATTCTGGGGGTGGTACAAGCTCCTAACTTTGGAAAATATTTGGGACTCCCCTATTTTATTGGAAGAAATAAGGAAGCAGCTTTTTCCTATATAGATGATAAAATCAAACAAAGAATTGGGTCCTGGAATAAGAAATTATTATCACAGGCTGGAAAGGAAGTATTATTGAAAAGTGTGGCTCAATCTATGTCCACCTATTCAATGAGTGTATTTTTGTTGCCTAAGTCTGTGTGTACAGCTATTGAGACGACTATGAATCGTTATTTGTGGGGTACTGCAACTGGCTCAATCTATGTCCACCTATTCAATGAGTGTATTTTTGTTGCCTAAGTCTGTGTGTACAGCTATTGAGAGGACTATGAATCGTTATTGGTGGGGTACTGGAACTGAAAATGGTATTCACTGGAGAGCGTGAGATAGATTATGCATTCCTAAAAAATATGGTGGCCTGGGTTTCAAATATCTACGAGCTTTTAATTTAGCAACGTTGGGAAATGGCGGTTGCTAACTAAGGCTGATTCGCTGGTATCCCGTGTTTACAAAGCCAGGTACTACCCTAAACACTCCTTTTCAGAGACATGTTTGGGAAATAATCCTAGCTATTGCTGGAGAAGTATTATGGCGGCTAAGGATTTAATTTGTAGTGGTGTTAGACGAATAATTGGGAATGGAGAAACTACATTAACCTGGGATCACCCATGGCTCCAGGATGGTCATGATCCAATGATACAAACTGAAAAGCCTCCCCAGTTGGCTGGAGCTAAAGTGGTGGGTTTAATTGACCAGGACACCGGAACATGGGATCAACCGATTCTATCTGATATTTTTTATCCCATTGATATACCCCGAATCCTAAAGATACCTATTTCTCCAAATTATGAGGATAGTTGGTATTGGCATGGGGATCCAAAAGGTTATTATTTAGTGAAAAGTGGTTCAAGCTCGTTGTTGGAAATTATGTTGATAATGGAAACAATTTTAATAAATGGCTTGCACTATGGAAACTTAAAATTCCCGCGAAGTGGAAAACTTTTTTATGGAGAGCCTTGAATGATATTCTCCCCACTACAAAGAATTTGATTATAAAGAGAGTAGAGATTGAGCCTACATGTGCTATGTGTGGCACCACTCATGAAGATGTTATGCATTCTTTGATGTCATGTGATTTTGCAAAGGCCACGTGGAATGAGTCCCATCTTCCAATCCCCAATATTATGACAAATGTTTTTTACTCTTGGGTTTGATGGGGTAATAAATATTTTGGACACTAATGATATCATGTTCACAGCTTCGATTTTGTATCACATATGGAAAGCAAGTCCACCACGTCGGCTGCCAAAACCGGAACCCTTCCGAGCGGAATGCCACACATGTGCACCAGATGACCGGAGCGTTGTACCCTCCTGTGCCACCACGATCATGCTATGTCGATGCAGGCTATCTCCCTACAACGAACAAGGCCTCGGTGGGTGCTGTTCTTCTGGACGAGACAGGAACGTTTCTTGCGGCCTTTAATGCCGAACTCCCGAACTGCTTTTCCCCATTGATGGCAGAAGCTTTTGCTTGTAAGGAAGCCTTGTCCTGGATGAGGAATCGGGAGGAATAGTCTTTTGTGCTATACACGGACTGCCAGACTCTACACCAATATTTATCATCTGCTACGGGCCCTGTTCGTTCGTACGTTGGCTATGCCATTGATAGTTGCAGATCTCATATGTCTTATTTCGATTACTGCTTAGTTAAATTTTTTCCTAGATCGAATAATTTACTAGCTCATTCATTAGCTTCTATAGCGTTTAGTCAGACTACACTTATGTACTGGGAGAATATCTCACCTGACATTATTTCAGCTTATCTCTAATATATGCCTAATTGGCGGTTTTTTTTTCAAAAAAAAAAAAATTTAAAAGCAAAGTAGCAGGTTTGTGAAAACAATAGAGAGAGAATGGGATTCCTGAGATTCAAGTATTTAATCTTCTATTGCCAATCTTAAGAACAATATTAAATCTGGGTTTAAACAAGTGTGAGAATGCAAACAAGGGAAAGAGTTACTCGTGTAATCTCTAACCTAAGTGAATATTCACTCTCGTGATATAAACACCCAACAATAAAAGCACAAGCATTCAAAATAAACTCTTAATTACTACAATCTCCCAATGTGCAATAACTAAGAATTAATTCACTAACATATATGACATCTCCCGAGGTGCAACAGTTAAGTGCAATTGTTGGTGCTCTCAAATATACCCTAACTCCCGTTAAGACATAAATATAGCTATGAAACAAGTAATCATGGCCACTAACTACTAACATCAATAATATGAAATCACAATTGCAACACAAATATGAAACCCAAATATCAATACATTAAGAATATGAGAACTAGGCATATAGGTTCATAAACACTTTTTACCCAATTAAGAATCTCTAAAAAAAAAACTTAGTCACACATGGCTAATAAAGAATTTATTGCAATAATAAAGAGTTTACAATTAATCAAAGAGAGTAAAAGAATAAACCAAGTGATTCTTACAAATCTCCCTAGTTTTTCTTCTTTCTTCTCGAGACAACTTATAGCTCTTGATTCTCTTCTTTCTTGTCTCCAAAACACAGCATAATGCCCTAGGGTTGAACAAAGATGGGTTTTTTTTTTATATCGGTAGTCCAGTGGGGATGAAACGGGAGTTTTCCGGGCAAAATAATGAATCTGCTAAGCCGACTTCTCGACGCATCGAGTCTCGGTGCCCAGGGCCTTAATGGAATTATTCGACGCGTTGAGTTGGGGACTTGAC